TAGCCCCGCCTCCCCCCACCTCTCCCCGCCTCTTATACTCGCTGGTTTTGGTGTATTTTGTGGCGGAAGGTACAGCGCCAGTTACAGTCCCGGCATATGTACTACAGCGTGTCCATCGTTTCCAGCGTTCTCGTGTGAACAGACACGTCAAATGAAACGAATATGTGTGTGAACGGAAGACTTTTTTGAAAACGCATACTGTGCATAAACGCAAACGTTCCCGTGACGTGACAGTGTTGATGGGTCAATTCAAAAGATCATATATATTTTTTGAATAAACAAAGAACCTCGACTACAGCTTGTAAATCATCATTCAGTTTAAAACTTTTTTTCGAAAAATTCCTAAAGGATTTTTTAATAATTTCTCAGAGCTTGGATCCTTTTGACATCCTTCTGTCTTTCTTTGAACAATCCTTTTTCCTTGACCTGCTGTTCTGATGTGTATTATGTGTCTGTCCTGGTCCCTTCTTATCGCCCTGTTTCTCTCCTAATATTACGTGTTTTGAGAGATGTATTTAAACCCCTCTTCTCTCTCTGTCTCCTTAGCATGTTTTCTTTGTAACCCATTACAATTGTTTGAGAATGCGTCCTCCTTAGCTCCATCTGGTTCCTGACTGATCTTCTCTCCTCATCCACTGCCACCTCAGGAGATTACCCTCTCTATATCGCTTTCTATCTCTGTCTTTCTTTCTCTGTCTGTGTTCAGACGTTCAGTTTTCCTGATTTTTCTCTCGGTCTATTTCTATCTCCTTGTGCCGACACGCTGCTCAGGAGTATATCCGTAGACAGCTGGAAGAGGAACAGAGGCAGTTAGAGATTCTCCAGCAGCAGCTACTACAGGAACAGGCATTACTGATGGTAACCATAGCCCTCCCACTTGCTACTGCTGCCCCCCATCTGTGCTGTGTGGCCCCCTACCCCCACTGCATGCACCTGAGTGACAGTTTCACAGAGGAACTGACTCAAGGAATCCACAGTCTTGAGACACCCAACATGTCTGCTACCTATTTGAAAAACATGGAACACAAGCAATGCATTTCTTATCTCCAGTGCTTGTTATTCAGATCACTCATTGCATGAAGTGTACCATTGAGTTGGCTGGATCTCAAAGGATTTCCCAAAGGGTGCAGAAAAACAGTTTTGCCAGTCGATCAGTTGGGCCCACGCAAAGTGAGAACATCCAAAGGGAAATAAGACAGATATATTTCCCACAGAGGGGTTTCTCAGTGCTAATCTTATCTATGTCTGTTTTATTAGTGTGAGGAATCCACAGTAGGTATTGTATGATGTGTCCACTGCCCCTTACATCTTATTTGAGCAGAAATATACAGTAAAGGATGAAACCTTTTGAGATCCAATCCATGTCAACCCCAGAGACCACAGTAATGACTTCACACACCAAAACCCAGAGATGTGTTGCTGCCCAAAAATAGCATCTTCCCATTCCCTCTCAACTTCCTTCCTACCTCCATGTGTCCTTCCCTCTCAGTACCTTCCTTCCTTCCTTCCACTCCCAAAGTCCTTTCTTTCCCTCGTCCCGTTCATCTACATCAGGCTCAAGACGGTGGTTATAATTGTGAATCTGTTGCATTCACATTATTCAAGTTGTCAGTATTTTTGATCATCAGTTCTGTTTTTGCAATATTTGAAAATGCATTGCTCAAATTTGATATCAAAAACATTTGCAAACGCACAAAACAGAACAATTGAGAGAAATTCAGTGCAAATGACAGCTTACTATTTCGTAATTAAAACAAGTACTAAACACTTTTTGAAACTACATATTTTTGTACTGCTCAAGGATTGCATGGATAAGAAATTGTGCAACAACTCCTCGCCTGATTTGGAGCTGATCTCTGTGTCTCTCACTACCTTCTCATCCTCATCATGTCCTCCTCTTACGGTCCTCCGTTCGCCTCCAAAATCCATCCACGTTTCGTTCTGTTTTCCTTTGCCCGTCTCTCATCTCTGTCCTTCCTCCCCCCCCCCCCACTCTCCCTGTCTCCCCGCAGGAGTACAAGCGTAAGCAGGTGGAGGAGCAGCGCCAGGCGGAGCGGCTCCAGCGGCAGCTCCAGCAGGAGAGAGCCTACCTGGTGTCTCTGCAGCAGCAGCAACAGCAGGAGGGACGGCAGGCCGAGAAGAAGCCGCTTTACCACTACAAAGACATCAGCAACCCCACCGACAAGCCTGCCTGGGCTAAGGAGGTAAGTCACAACATGCATGGTGTACAAAGACATGCATGCAGTTAAATATGTGAGTTAGCACCAAAACTGAAATGTTGACTTTAATTAAATGCATTATGTCGACAAACTGTATTAGGTTAGTTGAAAGCAATAATATTCAGTTTGAATACAAAACGTTAGGTTGAACTTAATATTATTGCTTTCAACTAACCTTATATAGTTATGTTAAATGTGTTTATATAATACATTTAATTAAAGTCAATGTTTCAGTGTAGAAGGGACAAGTACCAGCTCTGAGTCGAGTACTAAATACCTGCATGTATTTTATATAAAAACACCCAGTGGCCTTTTTGTGTTGTTAATATCTAATTCAGCAGGTCCTACTAGAAGCAGCAGCCCCCGTGGGAGACATCGCTTCTTGAGTCTGAAGATATTTAAGAAGTGCTTTTATTCCCCATGTGAAGTCTCTTCTGTGTTTGTGTTGTGGCTTACCTTCCTCTGACTCTGACCCCCAGGTCCTGAAGCAGCAGCATGTTCAGGATCACCTACCCCACTCCCAACTACGACAGCACCAGTCATTCAACCAACCGGCTTCATCCCCTGACTCTTGGCACCAAAACAGAGCTCAGGCCCCTAGACGAACCCCGTCCCATGGTGCCCCGCCCCTCTCCTCCCACCCCCCCACCCCCCCCATATCCATATCTCACTAGATGGAGAACCCCTAGATCCGGGGCTCAAGCAAGAGATAAGTCAGCAGGTCAGAGAGTTTAGGGCTCAAAAGCTCAGGGGCCGCAGCCCGGGGCGCAGCCGGGAGCAGAGCCAGGGTCCTGGCCAAGGGCCCAGTAAGGGACCTGGTAAGAATCAAAGAGAGCTTTCCAGTCACGGGCCAGTCAGCCAGTCTAACCAAGCGCTCAACCCTTATTCTCTGGCGCCTAACAATCAGAATGAGAGGCCCAGAGACAGGCCTCTCTCTGCCCCCAATCATGCAGACATCCAGGGGCTAACGCCAGACCCTAGGATCCCTCATCCTCAGTCCCCACCACACGTCCAGAGTCCCCAATCTGGATCTATGTCTGCTCTCAAAGTGGTTAGTAGACATCCGCGCAGCAAGTCACACTCGCCTTGCTGTAGAATAGATGTAGAAATAGAATCAGAGTCTCAGGGAAGTCGGCTAAAAGAGAGTAGGCTAGCTCGCAGCCACACGAACCTCCTATTCCCCCCGGACTGGGAGGTCTCACATGGCCAAACTGACCGCCTCTCTTGCTCCTTCCCTGACAACGCTCTCCAATCCGCCGTACAAAGGTGCAGGAATTCCTACTCACCTGCCTCCAACAGTCTTCTTCAAGTCCCTGGTGACAATCACTTACTTCCCCCTCCTTTGTATAGTGACAGCGAGGGAGGGAATAGGTGGCAGGGAGTAAGGCCTTGCTCCTCCATGTCTGACCTTAACGCTTCCGCCCCAGCAGACGTAATGAGACAGAACTTTTCTGAGATCAGACATATGGGTTTTCGCTCCGTTGAAGAGCTAACCTCTCCCACCGTTCCCGATTTTTGGCCGGGCCCCTCACCTCGCACCTCTCCACAAATCTCCCCCTCTTCCTCAGGCTCGTGGTCCACCGGTACCTTTTCCCCTCAATTCTCCTGTGACACGCTTGTGTTCAACAATCCCCACACACCTTCTCCAACCTACAATGACCTCCTCATGCCCAACCAGGCCTTCCATATCTCCCTCTCAGCAACGTCTACCCCTCGCTGCTCCCCGTGTGGCTCTCCCATTGGATCCCGGAACCAGATCCATCAGCTCCATTGAGTGCTCGACCCTTGTCCAAAGCACACATGTATAGATACACACAATCACACACACACAAACACACACACATTTTTGTACTTCTAACCCAAATCCGTTTTTAGTTTTCGTAACTCGTGTTGATACAACATGAAAGGGTTGATGCACATTTAGGTTGTGTCTACTGATCTTTGGTGAACTCAAAATATACTTAAATCAACAAAAGCAATAATTGCAACTATTCCCAATTAAATATTTAAACATAAACTGTAGTGTAAACAAATTTTGCTCGACTTCCTTGTCCCAAATTTAACCCTCAAATATGTTCCTACATTTCAGAATATATCTCCACTAACAAAGTCACAGAAGTCATCACACATATGCATAATGTAAATAAATACAAACACACAACATTACTGTTTAAAAAAAACATTTATCTCGACAATTTACGTGTATTTTATAATAAATCTACATGTTGTACATTTTTTAATTACTGAAAATATTATCTTCTGGGACTGAGATCCATTGCGGAGTTGCTGATATTCAGGGACAGTTTATCCCCCTGTACCAATAGCCGCATTCACACCGCAGGACTTTCCCTGGTACTTTGGTTCTTTAGTTCCGTTAGTACCAATAATGTCGCGTTCACACCGCCGGGACTACTCAGTGCCGGGAACTCTTTTGGCCATTTTCAGTCCCTGCTAGAGAGGTGGTACGAACCTGGTGATAAAAGAGTGCCAATTTCTATTCTATTTCTATTGGCTGGGCGAATTGCAAACCACGCCCCGTTAGACTCTGAATTGTTTTTGTTAGGCAGCCATTTTTTTCCTCGCTACAAAACCACATCCACACCTGAGCGAGTAGCTTTTTTGTACTTTAAAGCAGTTATGACCAAACGTACTACAACACCGGAGCAAACTCCATCATGTCTGAGGTTGGAAAGAAAACAAACGCCTCATGTACAGCGGGTGGGCTTTATACCCCCTCCCCCGTGTAGTTCTTCTTGTCTCGTTTTTTTTCTGTACTCGCCGTGAAATGGTTTTGCGGCCTGCCAGTAAACCCAGAGAAGAAGAAGACGTGACGTCAGCGTAATCTTGCCTCAGGGAAAGTACTGCTGTGTGAATGCGATTGGCACTAGCCCCCTGGCGGATTCAGTGCCGTGGTACGGCAAGTCTAAAGTACGGCAAGTCCTGCGGTGTGAAAGCGGCTCATGTCTACACCTAGATTTCTGGCTTTATCTGTTGTTTTGAACATTGCAGGCTGAAGCTCAGCGCTAACTTTTATACGTTCTGCC